GGGGGGGACATGTGACCACCATCTAGAATCTAGATATATAATCTAGGCCTCTATAGCCTAAGTTTCTGCAGCTGACTTTAATTACAACTCCAACAAATCTAAATTCTAGATCTAGATCACTACTAGATCTAATATCTAGATCTAGAGAGTATAGAGCTAGGTCTAGAGAGTATAGATCTAGATCTAGAATCTAGATCTAGAATCTAGAGTCTAGAGGCCTGCCTAGTCTGAACAGGACTCAATGTTTCAAGAGGTGCCAATCAGTGGGGTCAGAAAGTGAGGGCAAGGCTGTGGATGGCTCTAGATCTAGATCTAGATATTAGATATAGATATATAGATCTAGATCTAGCGCCTAACGAATAGGTGGATGAGTGGTGGATGACGAGGCTATCAGGTTTAGGGGGTGGGGGGGATGGGAGGGGTAGGTAAGGGGCGGGGGCCGGCCTCCGTTAGCCGTTAGCGTCAGAGACAAAACGGAAACGAGCTAACGACAGGGATTTAGAAGGGGGGAAAAGGAATAAAAACGAGCAAGTACGTAACATGTAAATGCTGACGATGCACAGAAAGTACAGAAGAACTACTCTGTTGCAGCTGACCGTAGAGTGTAGTATCTTTGCTAAACAAGTACTTGTAGTTGTAGAGACGCAGTCGTCATCAATGACAATGACAACATGTCTAGCCTAGATTCTATCTCGACCCAGAAATATAGACCCCAGGCCTATTCTACTGTGTGTAGACCTATCTATACTTTTCACAAATAACTTTAGAATACTCACCAGCGAAAAGAAGACAGCATACTATTCCAATGAATAAAAAGTGCTTCATTCTTGCCATTTTTCACGCTCCAGCGTCTGAGACACAGACGAGGACTGGGAGGAATCTGATCAAAACAAATGCAGGACCGGCGATCGGTTATTAGCACGTTGTCCACGGGTTACAAAGGTATGGGGATTCCCTTCCGCTTGGTGATTGACCAATCAATGTACACCACGAGCAGTCATTTCACCAATGAGATATTCCCAAGTACGGAATACGCTATCCCTACCTGGCCCACAACCATTGGTTGAAATGCCACGAAGCCCTCTTAGTTATGCCTGTTCGGGGCCTTGACGGTGTCGGTCGAAATTGTATCCTACATCAATATTTACACAACGCAGAAAAAGCCAACACCTGGGTTGAAATTTGTAACAAAGGTGCAGGGTGAGTGATCCGATGTATTAGCAGAAGTAATTTTTGGACATTATTTTGGGAAAGTATTGCATAAAGCATAGAACATCTCGCTCTCAGAATAAAAATAGAAGGCAAAAGGGGTAAAGGTAGACCAATAACAACTTAGAGAAATTATTGAACAGTGGGGAACGAAAACAATGAATGGGGG